ATATAAACAAAAATAATAATAATACTAAAAATTAATTATACATGGATTGGAATAATAAGAATAGTAATATTAATTTTTTTTTTTTTCCTTAAATTAGACCAGAAGCCTATTAAAAACTCGGCCAATACCCCCCAATCATCATATTTTTACAAGTATCATTTAAAAATACCGGCGAGAGGGTGGAGAGTGATCGCATGGCGGAAATCGAATCAGAAATTATGTGGCGAGAAATAGATGGGGCCCAGTTAAATGAAAAAGAAGAAAAAGCGGGACCAACTTGTCAAAATAAATGGGGACGCTTGTATTTAATATAGTGGGCCCACTACAGCAAAGGAATCATAAAGAAGAGACTTCCTTCCAATTGAATCTCTTTCTCTTGCAACTTGTTTGTTTTGTGAGATTGGGACCCAATCCATTCATAGATGAGTAGACAAATGATTCCTCTCACTGTCTCACAACCCCCCAACCAAACTGAGAAAAAAATAAAATAAAGAGGGCTTATTATAAAAATGAATAATATATCAATAATTAGTACTAGTGGCGGTAATTATTATTGTAATTAATGTATAAATGTTTATTTATTAATATTAGGAGCATGATATGGTGCCCGAAGTTGGAACAGCCAAGAAAAAAAGGGGAGTGGACTCCACCACTGAACAATAATAGACCTACATGTTAGATTTCTAGAAAATATATTATATTAAACATTCAACAAGTAATGTAATTTGGATCAAATAAATAATATCAGGTCGACTTCGAGATTGAGTCATTAGAAAGTACGAACACTTTTAAAAATGAGTTGTATTAGTATTTTACTCATATAAGATATTAGCATTTCTCGAACACTTTTTAAATATGTGTCCGACACTTTATATATATGTCTATAAATAAAAAAATAATTTTATTATTTTAAATACTTCGCCGACACTTTCCCTACACTTTCTTGAACATTTTTAACACAAGTTTACACAGTAATCTTAAAAATAATATGAATACCATTATGACAAAGTAGTGAAATAATGATATATATGATATAAAAATTATTACAATAATGACATAATTTCATTTTCTAATTCAATTAATAACAACTCTTATATAAAAATTATAAATGAATAAAAGTTTTATAATACTTTTACTAAATAAATATAAAAAAATAAAATTTTATATTTATATAAAGCCGTGTTCACGTTGTAGCTGTATCCTACTTTTAAAAAATTTGACATGTCCATGTATCCGTGTCTGTGTCCCGTGTCCGTGCTACATAGGGGAGTTGTAATATGTGGTGGGATCTACACCTCAATGTTTTACGATCGAAAAATTATTAAATGGTTCTGATCCATTGACATTTAGTGCACCAATTCAATTTAGATTCTCGACTTTTTCTTTTAAAATGTGAGAAAGTGTCACTATGCTACAACTTCTTTGATATTTTTCGAGAATTGACTTCATATAAAATAATCCAAGAAACTTTTCAATCTATATACAAAGTACATTCTAAAAATTTTGAAGTAACATAATTTTACATCTTAGGCATCTATAATGATTAGACTGTGTAGGGGATTAAACCTGTAAAGCCACCTGGCACATCTTACGTCACCAGAATTGACTCGACTCAAGTATCGCTAAGAGCACTGGGCACTTGCGCAAACAAGAGAACGAGAAGCCCACGTGCCTCGACTGGAGCACTACTAATCACATAAATGAAACTCAGCCACCGTTGTCTTCAAAAAGAAGGGCATTTAATGTAGTGGTACTCATCCTCGGGCCAACAGGACCAGAATACCCCTATTATGTTCGATACGGCTATGATGGCTACTCTAAAATATCGAAGGGTTTCTCTGCTCATGTAAGGGCCCAGGCCTATAAATAAAGGCTGAGACACTCATAACAGAGGTTGGTTTTTGGAGATTCCATTGTATCTCATATTTAGATATCACTCTTTTTGATTTATAAGATTGACAGATTGTGAAGAACCCCACATACTATATTCTTAATAATTATTTTTGAAAATCTCAAATATATATGAGAATTGGAAAAATAAGTGAGTAATATAAAATATTTAGAGAAATTTGTGAGAATAGTTTAGTTCTTGTTTTTTTTTTTTTTTTTTTTTTTTTGTTGGGTTGATCCGTTTGTTTGCTTTGGTTGTGATTTGTGTGTAGTTTGTTCTATTCATAATAGTTTAGTTTGTATATCTTAGATATCTTGCAGTGATAGACACTCTAATGGACAATCCTTTTTATATTTATTATCAGTAAGATTAAAAATATAAATAGAAATTCTAGATATTTTAAAGTAAAATCATATATATATATATATATATATATATATATATGTAGTATCTGTGAAAAATTGTAGTATATTAATACTACAAATAGCGCGGCACCTCATTGTGTCATGCATCAACCCGATGAAGATGGAGATCGTGATGGAGAGGAAATAACCTAAGATGAGAAAAGAATCTCGCACAAAACAAAACCATCCCACTCAAATTATGATAAGCACAAGCCATTCGTTTTCTCATTAAAATCAGAATAATATCCACACGTTCACACAATACAAATTACCAATTTATCAAATTGCTCACTAGTCCAATAGCGTAACTTTTTGTTCTACAAAGGAATGGTAATTTAAAATATTTTCTTTTTTGAATATTTTTTTTTTTAATTTTCAGCGTGTATCATTTAGTGATAATTGATGTGTGTGTTATTTAAAATTTATCTCATTTTAAATGGCGCTTATTGTTTTGAATGATATTTAAATTGTGTTATTAAACGCACTTAATTGTACAAGTGCTTTATTCATTTAGAAATAAGCCAAAAAAACAAAAACAAAAAAATTAAGAATTTGAAATTTTAAAACAAAAAATTGTAAAAGCTTCAAATTTTGCAGTTTTAAAATTCTAGAAATTTTTAAGTGATGTAATTTTATATGTAATGCACCTATAATAATAAAATTTTATTATTAATAGTTATTTTGATCATTCAATAATATATAGGAATTGATAAAAGACGTTTGAGTAATATACACTACCTAAGTGTTTGATTGGTTTAGTTTGCATATCTTAGAAAAATATATATATAATAAAAATAATAAATAAATAAAATTTCTCTCATTTGTATTTTTTAGATGAGTTGCAGTGATAGAACTCCATACAATTTTTTATTAAAAAATTGTGTAACTTTTTTACACACACACATCTGTGTGTGTGTGTCAAAAACCAAGTTAATTACTCCTCCGTCCCACTTTAGATGTAATTCTAGATTTTTAAGAATTTTGCTTTTAACATTCTTAATTGCATTGAGTGAAGTCACACTAGTGTCATTTTTAACACTTCAATTTATTTTATCATTTCAATATACCAAGGGTAACCTTTTTCCTTTTTATTTTTTTTTATTATTGGTTTTTTGGCAAACTAGGGAGACGGAGGACTCAAATATAAGCCGTCCAAGGAATTGCGCATTCTACCAATAAATCCCCAAAATAATACCCTATAATAAGGATAAACTAAAAATGTTACAGAATGTAGTGCATTGTTTTTTTTAAATAAGAAAATTATTGTGGAACACCTAAAAAAAAAATAGAATACTAATATGAGATGAAAGGAGTATTATATTATTTATTATTAGAGGAATTTATTCATAATTAATGTAAGAATAATGTATTTTATTCCTTAATAACTTTTCATTTTTCTTTAATTTGGCTTATTATTAGGATAAATTATACTAATTTTCCTAAAATTTCAGCAAATTATGCATGAATAGATCAGACCGTTCAATCTTTATGCCTAGTTTGCTTTACAACATTCCTATTGACCTGGTACAAAATCTCCTCCTGTCTCAAGTGACTAATTCCATCCTGTGCCAAATAAGTGAGTGTGAAAGCACCACGTTAATTAAAAAAATTGAGTAATTAAAATTTCACCGCCCTCTTTAAGTTATATTCCATATGTATAAAAACCGTAAATATTATTTTTAAAATAGGGTACATGTTATTTTAATAGACAATGTGGGTCCAATTTAATATGAATTAACTCTCAATTTTGTGTTCTACCATTAAAGAAGCTTGTTTATTTCGTCTTTCTCTTTCTTTCACTCCTTGGTCTTTTGTATTTTATTTTGGAGTTTCAATGAAATTTCTTTGATTATCATCAAATTTGTTCCCTTTAAATTGTTTGTTCATTCAAAATTCATGTTGTTTACATGTGTTTGAATTCCTGTTATATCAATCAATTTTTGTTGATTCATTGATTCATGTTTTGTTGCTCGGAAACTGAAAAAAAAGCTCGGCATGTGTTGGTGTCTCTATCTCTTTGTGTTTGTTTATGATCCTTCTCCTACTCAATTACGTACTGCAATTTGTTAGTTTATGATCATTCTCCTACTCAATTACGTATTGCAATTTGTTAGTTTATGATCCTTCTCCTACTCAATTAGGTACTGCAATTTGTTAGAATTTTACGTATAACATAAGCATGAAATAAATTACTTACTGGAATTTTATGTATAATATAAAACTACATAGTCCTTGAATTACTCTATTTAGTAGGCTTAAAATTTTACGTATAACATAAGTACCAAACAAACAAACTCCATAATTTTATTGTACAACGTAAGCTTAAATGTTATGCACAAAAATATTTACATAAAAAAAATAAAAAATAAAAAATAAAAAATAAAAAATAAAAAAAAAACCTAAATATAATACAAATAATTAAACAAAGATCTTACTTATCGAGCTAATGGTATAAAAATAAAATAATTTTATTGTACTTCTTTTTACAAGTCAGTCAAACAGTCACTAGCGTTATTTTAGCGGGTGTTTCAGGGTGTCGTGCAACCGATGGAGATGGAGAACAAGTATCCTAAGATGAGAAAGGGAATCTCACGGAAACCAAAACTATCCCACTCAAATCAGAATAAGCACACCACAACCCCATTGATTTTTTCTCATCAGAATAAAAACATTATCCACATTTTCACATTAACACAAATTACGAATTAGATAAAAATAAAAATTGTAAAAGTTTCACATTTCTTCATTGATGCCCATAGAAATACAGACAGAGAGAGAGAGAGAGAGAGAGAGAGAGAGAGTTGAGGATGTCCATGTTGGATCCACATAAAAGAAAAAGTCTTACAAAACTTTGTCCCATCAGCATACCAAAAAAAAAACACAAACCCCCCCCCCACCACATATACACACACATACATACATATATATATATATAAGTGGGCGAAAAGCTAAAAATCTAGACGGCGGCCACAGTCTCACCTTTGGTGGAGACCACTTCCGATCCGGCAGCCTTGGACGTAGATTCTTTCTTGGATGCTAATGAACACTTCTTCTCTTTCCTCTCATCTTGATTCATCTGTTGTTGTCTACACTCTTGACTGCAAAACGCACTGTCGCCTCTGTAAATTCAACACCAAATTAATTGAGTTCTTCAATCCAATTCATCAAATTGCTATATACAATATCAATTCGAATAAATTTTTTAAAAATTGGGTTCTACCCAGATCAAACAAATTATGATTTTTTATGTCGGATTTTTAAGGATCAATAGCGACTAACGGTAAGGTTACTCCGACACGAAAATTACCAATTCAAAATTGGTAACAGTCTCTTCATGCAAAAATAAGACTGCATATATCTAATACCCGAGTACTCCATTTGGCAATCACAAAAGGTCATTTGTGAATCAAACTGTGAATGTGAAGTTCAGAGAGCTGGGTTTTTTTAGCGAACATTTATTTTCTAGCAAAAAGAGAGGTAATTAATTGCACTTGAAAAAAAAAAAATCCCAAAAAACGAAGCATGGAATGATATTCAAGGTGAAATTTGTTCAAATCTCAAATCAATATCACACCAATTCTAATTTCAAGACGAGAATTTTGTTGAATTTGTTGAAAAGAATTTTTAACTTCAAAAATCCACCGATTTTAAAAAGTGCGAGGGAGTAAAAAAAAAAAAAAAAGTGTGTGTATATACAAAATGAATTATCAAATATTTGTTCTCACCAATCAAAAAAAGACATCTTTGATGCGTACTAATTCAGAACACAGATCAAATCCAGGAAAAATAAACTTCAAAATTACTGGAATGATATCATTTGATAAGAAAATTTTAAAGAACATATATTAATATATACATATACATATATATATAGAAGGAGAGAGTGTATGTACCTGTACATGTAGATGTCACGACCGGGAACCAAACGGCGTTTACAGAGGGAGCAAGTTCTCAAGAAGTTGGGGGTCTGGGTAAAATCTGCGGAACTGCGCCGGTGATTCCGAGGTGAAACGGTGGCGTTCCAGAACCGTTGATCTGAACCGTCCGTTGGTCTGAGTGGGCCACTCTTGAAGGGGTTGTGAGGATCAGACGGCTGAGGAGAAGTGACCCCTCCTATGTTGTCTAGATCCAAGGTGAACTCCGTCATGCTGGTGGTCCTCTTGATCGGCGGACGCGGCCTCTTCCCCAACGACATTTTCTCTCTCTCCTTTCTCTAACGCCGGAGATTATAGATTCTAGAGAGAGAAAGAGAAATAATTTTAGAGTGAGAGTGGGGAGGGGAGGTGTATGGAAAGAAAAACGACGAGGGAGATTGTGTAAGGAGCGAACATGGGCATCTACATGACCTTTAATAAGAGCCACCACCGTCACTTTTTTGATGTGTTCTTCTTGTTGTTTTTGTTTTTTTTTTTTTATCTTTCTTTTTGATCTTCTTGTGTCACACTGACCTACCCCCTTGGACTTGTAAATATATGAATGGTCATTCGTAGGTTAGTTACCTAGTCTATTAAAATAGTAATGAAAGACTTCATGTGATAATAAAAGTGAGTGTGATTTTCAACATTTAATGTGTTGTATTGTTATTTTTAGTTGTCTCTTCTTGGTTAGGTGTTACCAGATTATGAATTCCTTGCAATTTTTTATTTCCCTCGTCGCATTCTAAAATAAATAATTGAATAAATTACACTGTTGACAAAAAAAAAATTCTTTTGTTTCAAAGATAACACTCACATTTCGTTTGAAATTTATTTAAAGCTTAATTTTGCCCTCAAAAAGCTTGAACAAAAAGATATTTTACGGTATAATTATTATTTCACCTTTTTGGTATAATTATTTTGGGTAAATTACACTTATTTTTCCTTTAGAATGCTTAAATAATGGGAAGCCGGTGTTATTTTTTAAATCATAGAAAAGGTCTTTGTTATTTAAGCATTCTAAAGGAAAAATAAGCATAATTTACCCAAAATAATTGAGGGGGCCATTGATTTTATTTTATTTTACTTTTAAGTAGTTATATGTTCTTCCAAAGTCCAAAATCGAATAAGAGAGGTTGGTGGACTCCCGCAATATCTTATTTTTCGTTAGATATTTTGGAATTATGTAGTCGCTAATGACAAGCTGCCACATAATCAAAAAACTAAATAAAATTGACACATTTAATTAAACAGATGACTATCTAATAATTCTTGATAATTACAAATCCCTTTTTTGTTCCATTTAGATTTTTTAGGGAAAATCTTTTTTTTTTCTTTTTCTTTTTCTTTTCTTTCTTTTTTTTTTTTTTTTTTCAAAGAAAAACATATCTAGAGTTTGGTTCACTTTCGGTTTACTTTTTGGTCTCCATACATATGGTAAGACTTAAATTATTAAAGGTGAAAGTTATTGTCGCATGATGGAGAAGTCTTCGGGTGCACCTAAAAGTAAGGTTGGGTTGGAGTCAATTCTTTAGAGATATCTCTGGCGGCATGTTAAAATAATTTTTTTTTGTGTAAAATATACACTGTTATGTATGATGTGTAATTTTTTTTATCTCTAATACTCTGTTAAGAAACACTGTCATACATTATCAATGTCTAAAATTATTATATATTTTACACAACTTTTTTACACAGCCAAATTAACATTTTTTTTCTTCCTCCCTCCTCATTCTATTAACAAATCAACCTTATATTTAGTAAGTTCGTAAAAATTATGTGAGATCCATGCATGACATTTGTTAGTTATTATTAGGAGATATATTTTTACACAAACTGTATAAAACAAACGCTGAAGTTAAAAACTAAATGATCCAAAATTTTTGTATAAATATATTATGACATATCAAATTTACCAAAAAAATATATATATATACACAACGGTTTGAGATGCTCCTATAATTGAAAATATATAATCTTCTACTCTAAATTTAGCAAGTTTAACTCTTAATTATGTCATGTAATTGTTACTATGCATTCTCTAAACTTTTCTAAGAAGATTAAACAATATTTAATTTTGTGTAAAATTGTTGTATATTTTATATAACCTTTTACACAGTCATATCAGCATATTTCCTTTCTTCTTCATTTTTTTCATTCCATTAAAAAATCAACCCTGTATTAAATAGATTTGTAAAAATTATATGAGATCCAGGCATGACACTGGTTGGTTGTTATTGGGAGATATATTTTTACACAAAAAGGTATAAAACAACCACTGGAGTTAAAAATAAATAATCCAATTTTTTTTTTTTTTTTTTTGTAAATATATCATGACACATCAAATTTATACAAATATATATATACACACACACACAACAGTTGGAGATGCTCTAACCCACAAAGAAAATGTAATAGTGGGTCCAAATTATTTTTATCCTTATATCAACTTTTCTTTTTCTTTTATTTATTTATTATTTTTTTTTTTTTTGTGTCTCTTATCCTCATTACACACATATATACCAACAGTAACTAACCATTATGGTGGGAATTGGTGAAACTTTTTATATATTTTCTAAGACTGCTATTAACTTCTTCTTACTTCTTTTTTATTCCTTGCATATTTTTCCTCCACTCTCATTTTTTTTAATTTAATTTTTCTCTTCTCCATCCAGTACTCGTTACAATTTATAATTTTACTATCTCACTCTATCAGAAAATTTTGAATACATTTTTATTATATTGAAGAATTTGTTGGAGCATTGCATCAAATTCTTCAAAATCATTTTTTTATTGTTCTATAACTTAAATTATTTTACACTTTTATTAATTTTTTTTAATCATAAATTATATATTTTGCTTGTGAGTTGTCATTACTTTTATTTATATTATTCAATGTGTCTTCTAAAAAGCACAAGCCAATTAATTAATAATTAAACTAGAGATCCGGGTAAAAAAATCAATACTATTGTAAAAAAAAAATCACGAAACAACTAATAAGCATATTAAGCATATTTACTAATACAAACATATGAGTAAATTCAATTATAGATCACTTTATTTTTTTCACCTAACATCTCAAATTATATGGAGCGGCCCCTAAAAATATTATATTGGATGGTGAATGCAAGGGAGTTTAATGGTAAGATTGAGGATGAACATAGGACTTATGGTCAATTAGTGGTGATGAATCCCCCATGGTAGAAATGGGTTGTCCAAGAAAATGATTATGGAGAGAGAGATATGCTAATTGATTGATTGGATAGCGAGAAAGGAAGGAAAAAGGCAGAAGAAAAGCTCCAAATGTTGCATGCATACTTTATGCTTCGAAATCAATTTTATCGTTTTGTTATCATAATTAGCAAGTTAAAAATCTAATTAGTATAAGAAGTGCTACTAATGTCCAAATTTTGTATAGTTAGAACAGCATGAATCAATTAAAAAATCATTGAAATATTAAAATAATTGTATCTCCATTTTAGTTTTAAAAATTTTATGTTGTGTTTGGTGTACAAAAATGAAATGAAATACAAGTGGGAATAAAATAAAATATGTAGGAATGGAATGATAATAACCATTCTAGTATTTGGTTGGATCAATTTAAAATTTAGAATGAAATAAATTTCAAATTGAGTTCTCCAAAATATCACTCTTAGTAACAAATAAATTAAATTAATAAAATGATATTTTTCAATAATTTTTTAAAAATAAATGGTGGCAATGGCGGTGGTGGATGGTGGCGATGATAGTGGTGGAGATGGAAAGCGGTAGTAGTATAGATAGTGATGTTGGAAGGCGGCAGCAGTGGCGATGGCGTCAATGGTGGAAGGCAGCAGTAGGGTTGATGGAAGGCGGTGACAGTAGTGTGATGGTGGTGGTGGAAGGAGATAGTGGTGTAGGTGGCAGTGGTAAAAGCCAATAGAGGTAATTGCATGTGGTGGTGGTGGAAGGCAGTGGAGGTGGAGGTGGAAGGCGGTGACAATGGTTGTGGTGGTGGCAATAGTGGAAGGCAATGGCGATGATGGTGGTGAAAGGAAGTGGTGGTGGAAGGTGGTGGTGGTGGTGGAAGGCAGTGGTGGTAGTGAAAGGCGGCGGCGGTGGTGATGGAAAGTGGCGGTGGCGGTGGAAGGCGATAGCGGGGTGAAAGGCAGTGGCAGTGGCAGTGGCAGTAGCGGTGGTGAAAGGCAGTGGTGGTGGTGGAAGGTGGTGTCATTAGTGGTGGTGGTGGTGGTGGTGGTAATAGTGGAAGGTAGTGGTGGTGGCGACGTGGTGGAAGGTGGTGGCGGTGCAGGTGGTGAAAGGCAATGGTAGTAGTGGAAGCGATAGGCGGTGGTAAAACTCGGTGGCGGCGGTGGTGGTGGTGAAAGGCGGAGGTGGTTATGGTGGAAGGTAGTGGTGGTTTTTAGACTTGAAATATGAGGGTTTTTGGAAAGTTGATTTGAAAAAAAAAAAAAAAAAAAAAAAAAAAAAAAAAAAAAAAAAAAAAACGTGGGAATGAAATGGCTATTGCATATGTTTAATTGTGAAATAAATTTTTATTCTTAAGAATGGATTTTTATTCAAATGGAATGACCATTCTTACTTTAAATTGCATACTAAACAAATGAATGATTGAAATGAGCATTTTATTTCATTTTATTTCATTCTTACATACCAACGTAGCATAATTAATACTTTAATTTGTAAGCCCTTTTCGAAAGTAGCCATTGAGGTGCTAGAATATTAATAAATTTTCAATTGGTTGCCTTTCCTTGCATCACTCTAGGGCTAATTCATTTTAAATACAAACTGAAAGACAATTACGACATATCTGTAATTAAAATGCTATAATTTATTTATTTATTTTTGTTTCATAGTCCACCACTAGACACGAGCAGACCATCTGTCCCACATATACTAAGTAATTATTTAAGAAAATACGAACTCCTAATTTCTAGGATAGGGGGTGATGCATCTATGTATGCTCCTCTGATTTTTTTTTTTAATTATTAATATGCCTTATTAAATTATTCATTTTCAATTATATACCCCTAAAATATTACTATTGTGCCTCTAAAATTACTAAAAAATATCATTCTTGCCCCCCCTCAATGGTCTGAGTCCGTCCTTGGAGGTGATGTTTTTGTCATTAAACCCTTTCATTCGCTTGATAATTTTTTTTTTTTTCTAACAAAGGTTAGTAGTTAGTTGGAGAATTGCAAAAGTTCTTTTCTGTTTCATATATATATATATATATATTTTGGTGTGGCATAAATGGAGAATTCAATCTCATAAACTAAGAGTTATTTGCAACCTTTGAAAAATACAATCTCGTCCTTAAAAGAGAATTAAGCACATGGACGCATGTGTGTGTGTGAGCACAGCAAGCATTAGTGAAAAATCTGAAAATGCATTCATACATGTATATATATATGTGTATGTGTACATATGTATATATATGTGTATGTGTATAGAAAGAGAGAAGGAAACCAATTAATACAT